GGGGGGGGGGGGGGAAGGAGAAGGAGAAGCAGAGCAGGCTCCCCGCGCTGGGGAGACACACACGCACACACACACACGGTCCCTCCCGCACACGGAGCCCGCACGCCGGGGCACCGGCCGTGGGGGCGATGGGCGGCGGCGGCGCGGCGAGGCGGAGGGGTCGGGGCGGGAGGGAGGGAGGGAGACATGGTGGGGGGGGACACACGCGCCGGGAGGGAGGGAGGGGGGAGGCAGCCCCGCACCCAAAAGCGGTCGGGGGGGTGGCTTAGCCGCCACCCGGCCCTCACGCCCACAATAAACCCGCTTTACATATTCATAGAGCCGGGGGGGGTGTGGGGGGGATGCCGGAGGAGCGGTCCCGGAGGGTCCCTTCGAGCGGGGCAGAGTCCCCCCGGCGGCGGGGCAGAGGGGGCCGGGGGTGCTGCCCCTCGCTGGGGCCGGGCGAGGCAGAAACCCGTGGTTTCCTTATCGCTCCTCTCCTTTGCCTCCCGCACCCCCCGCGCAGCCCCCCACCCCCAGCCAGAGTTATTTCCCCAGAGCCTGGGCCTTGCGGCGTGGGGTAGGTGGGTGCGGGGAGGGGGGCCGGAGCACGGCATGGTTCGGCTTTTTATTTAAACCTCCTGCCCCCCTCCTCTTTCCTTCAGGGACAGGTTGGGTGGAGGGTGATCGGGGGATGCGCGGGTTCCCGTACCCCTCGGGATCCTCGAGGTCTGGTCTGCACCACCCCCACCCGCGGGCTCTGGTTGTCCCCCACCCCCTGGAAGTGGATCTGCACCCCCCCAGCGCTGGATGTGCCTCCCCAGGGCTGGATGTGCCCCGGTGGTGATTGCCCCGCTCCCCCTTTGCCCGCGGGCTCCGGGGGAGCCCCCCAGGGCACGGCGGTGTCTGTCCCGTCCCTCTTCCCCGCGCTCTCCCTCTCTCTCTCTCCTTCTCATTTGAATAATGTCTAATTCGGGGAGGTTTATATTATTGAAATGGCCGCCCGGCTTTCCCCGCCTCTCATGTTTAGTAATTCAGACCTTTAATAACAGCCACTCAGAGCCCAACGCCGTGTTTATATTTTACATTCGCCCCATGTGCTTTTGTGGTTCAATATGATTCTTCTTTCTCGCTCTCCCGCTTTTTTTTTTTTTTTTTTTTAAATTTTCTTGGCAAACCCACAGGGCCCTGAGATCAAACCCAGACTATGTGAGGAGAGGAGGGGGAGAGCCAGGCCCTGGCTCCTCTGGCAAGCGCCTAGGCCTCACTCTGCTGCTTGATTTATTTACTAATAACCAAAATGACCCCCCCATCTCCACTCCACCCTGCCAGCAAAAACAAAACCCTCCTGGGGCTTGAGCAGCATCAGATCTGCTCATAGATTCTCAAACACTCATGTCTTTTAAATAAGGAGCTTATTTTTAATTTATAGCAACTCAAGACTGTAAAGCTGTTCCTTTCATATCTGCTTTTCAGAGGCTTGGGCATTTTTGGTCCCTTTGTCCTTGATTCTTTTCCTTAAAGGAGAGTTGCTTCTAATTTACGTTTCCTGGCACTGAGGGAACTATAGAAGACACACTCAAAATCTGAACAGCTTTCCTCCTCCCTCTGAACACAAACAGAATTGAATACATTGAAGATAATCTTATTCACCTTCTTTTTACTTAATGTAGATGCAGTTTAACAGTGCAGTGTGTCAGATGCTTTTGTCGCTGCTTGTATCTTTGACTGTTCTGGGTTGGTTTTTTTTTTTCCCCCCTTTCATTTAGATTTGGCTTTCAAGACAGAAGATACCACTAGGCAGCACAGGGTCTAGAAAGGAAGATAAGTTTTCTGTGATTGTCATAAGAACACCAAGTGAAAATTGAAATTAATCCTCTTAAATGATCTGGAGCAATTCAGTTTTAAACCAGATATTAGTCTACTCAGAAATAAACAAATGGACTACTTTATTAGAAAGAGGCAGTAATTTAAAAAGGGAAATATTTATGCAGGGCTCGGTTTCAGATAAAACTGTGTAGGTTTTCATTTGTGACCATTGTTTTCACCCTGTGGAGAAAAAGGACCGAACAGCAGGGTACTTCAGAGTAGCAGAGCCAGATTAGCATGTAAACATCTTTGAAACGCGACTAGGAAGAGAGTTCACGTACGAGTGCAGACGGCGTATTCCGTAGTTGGGTTCTAAATTTAATTTGTCACAAAATGCTGCGCTGCAGCTAATGAAAAGCATTTTGATTTAGAAAATAACGATGCAGATTATTTATCCTTTTTCTTCACTCTTGGCAAAGACAGGCCTTGAATACTAGAAGAAAAAAAAATCTGCAGAATCAGTGATGAGCCTGTTCAGGTGACTGACTTGTTCACAGACCAACAGCACAAGGCTGGCTGGACAAAAAGCAGTAATATGATTTCATGCCTTAAATAGCATATGTTTTTGCACTCGCTTCACGAGATGTGGTCAAGCCAATGATGTCATTGGCCAGAGGACAAGGTGCAGTTAATTTGATTTATTGACCTGGGGTGAGGTGTAGCACTGAAACCTTCTCATAGGGAAACCATTTATCTGAGGACAATTTCCTTTATAGCAGCAATTTAACCACTGCTGAGACTGTAGATATTTTATCCAGCATGGTAAAAATGTACATTGTGCATTGCAACCAAAATTTCTTTGTTGCTGACGTTTTAGTAATTTCTATAGAACGGAATACTGGACAGTGGCCTTTGCAGTCTTAAGGCTTATGATGCTGAATTCAGGTATTTACATGCCAAAATACAGATGTGTTTCTCTCAAACATATATATGTGTGCCTGTGTTGTAGCTTAAAATTTTACTGGAATGTGCTGTGGATAGAAACGTGTCTTCACCAGTGAAGCCCATAGGCAACATGTTAGAGGGAAGCACCTTTTCCCAAACCTTGACATCATCTTCACTTCTCAGAAGGTGCTCAGACTAGTGAGTGGGTATTCCCTCTCAGTCTTGAGTAAGGACTTTTATGTTAGTTTATCACTAGTAAGTGTCAGATTTTAAGCTGCTTCTTGGACCATCTTTGTGTGTGTTGGGTCAGAGCGTAAAAGCAGCTTTTTTTCTTTCTTCCCTATGGACTACCTGGCTGTGGTGAAAGTCGAGGGTTGTGCTACTGTTGCAGTGTTTCCTAATTTTTATCAGGAGAATATATTCTATGTTGGCTGTCTTTTCAGCTTTTGAGACATAAGAAAGACTTGTCCTCCCTATAAAATAGTTCCACCAGCTGATTACATCTGCTCAGTTATCAGGGTGATGCATTTTTTTATATTTTCTTTTTTTTTTTTCCTTTTCTTTTTCAGACCTGACCAAAATTTAGCAGTCTGACAGCTGGTTGGAAAACAGGCTAAGCTGTGCCAGTAGCCATGTGGAGCAGAACTGGGGAGGTGTGTGTCAGTATGATGACTTTAAAAATAGAGGAGCTAGACCTTAGCCCTCACTTCCCAGATGAAAGGGGGAGAATCTAAACTTCCCCAGCCTGTCCTTTAAGGAGGAAAAAAAAAAATCTCAGGTTTGCTGTCATTATCAATTTCTCAAAGATTAGCCTGCAGCCATAATTTAAGCAGTGAGTGTTAATACTGACTGCTGATGCTGGATGTGGATACCTTCTGAGTGCTTGTCCCAGCGAGTGGCAGTGTCTGGAGGTGTCTCACCTGACGGAATCAGTGAGGTTCCCTTAAACTTGGTCTGCCTGTTAAGCCTAAGGAAGCACCAACACAGTCTGTGTTGGGAATCTCTTACATGGTATGAAGTGCTGTTCTTCCTTCAGCTTCATTATAATCATTTATTGCCCAGAAAAAGGGGATTTGGAACACAATTGTCGCTTAAATAATGGTTTTCAGATTTCAAGCAGTAAGTTCCACACTTAGAGTAGCTCACTTTGCTGTTTTCTTTATATTCAGATGTGTGAGGATACAAAGGATTCTGGGGTAAGTGTTTTTGCCTATGCTATCCGGGATGTTTTGGTTGGGCTCATCTGTCATCCAGTTTCTTTCTGTTAAAGAGGGTTCAAGTCTCCCCCTAGGTTTTTTTTTTCTCTCCTGGTTCTCTGGCCAATTTGCAGTAGTTTTTTTGTAGCATACAGTAAGTTTTCGTTTGTTTTTCTCAAATTTTGACTCCTGTAGAGTTCAAGACTTCAAAA